ATAAATTTATCACAGCAATCCTTACCTGGTGCAGGGGGAGTGCTAATGCCTGCGCTGCTCAGCGAGGAAGACCTAAGATCTCCCACCACTTTCTTTCTTGTCTTTATCTCTAACCTCCGGTCTCTTTATGGGGGAAGGGAAGGAAACCCCTCCTCTCCTGGTGGGCTGGGAACAGCTTTACTAACAGCAAGCCTGGAGCTCAAAGGTGAGAATGTGAGCCAGGTGCAAGGAGGATGCACCCCTGGGGCTGCAGCTGCATTCCGGTAGGAGCAGCTTTTGTCCACTCCCTGTCCCTCCCAGGTTCCTGGCCAGTTTCAAGTGTAATAAAGCAGTCAGGGAGCTCTAACACCCTGCTGTCAAAGCTGCAGGGATTAAAGCACATTAATCGTCGTGCAGCCTTTATTCTCTGAAGAATGTACACCACGTTAAACAGATCCGGAGAGATGACAGCACTCCCGACTCCCCTTGTATCGCTTACAGTCAGATTCTGCTTTATCTTTGTTCATCTAGACTGGAAAATATGCGCAATGCCCTCATCCTACCAAACCAAACATTTTTTTACCTCTCCAATGTGTTCACACTGCTCACATGACTTGCCACACTGAACTTTCAGTATCTCCTGTGGACTCGGTCTGGTTGTTGCTGTTGGACCAATGTCACATTCACAAGAGGCATGGCAGATCTCAGAGCCCACCTCAAAATCCCTTTCAGTCTGTTTTTTACTGTGCAGTACTGACAAGATTAATTTTTGACAATGTCCCCTTACCATTCCTCTCCTTCAGAGTGTTTATTATCTCACCTGCATGCAAGCACAACAAAATAAAACTAGAAATAAAAGAGAATATGGAAGCACCACAGTTTATTGTTTTGAAATGTAATTTTAATGTATCTACTGTATCATTCTCCTTTTCATCTGTCTTATTTAAATTAAAACTTCTTGCTATCAAGTATAACTTTGTGTCTTCAGCATTCAATGTATCAAAATGCATGTCAGGCTCCTTTGCAACATACATTTGTCATCTTGAATCTCAATTTATCCAGGCTAGAAAAGATGTTCTTTTGTTGAAATAACCTACTGACATTTTGCATGACAATTTTTTACAAAGTACAATGTGGTAAAATATTAAGTTTGATCTTAACTTGTTCATTTAAAGTAAGGGGAAAAAATTCTGGCTGCTTTTTTTAATTAGAAACCAATTGAGTCTTTTGTCTTCTAAATTAATAAAAAATTAGCCAAAACAATTAATTGATATCCTTAAAAGTTTTAATTAATTTCTCTGGTCACTTTATGAAACTCGATAATTAAGAAGGATTATGATAATTAAAACTGATTCTGATTTATGAGGATTGTCTGAAAATTATTTCACTACTCTTAGGCTTGAGATGGAAACCTCAATAGGGATTTTTTTCCTTTTCCTTTAAAGAAAGGAATTGGAGGAATATGAAACCTATGAAAAAAAAAAAAAAAAAAAAAAAAA